GAGCCGCTGGTGGAGGATAACGACTGCATTGGGGAAGCCGTTACTCAGACATCTATGTCTCTCAGGCTTGTTTTTTTCTCTCTAAAGATCGGATGCTAGCTGTCATGTCAGAGCTGACCCAGTTCCACCACAGAACATGTTCGAAAACACCGCGAGTATGAGCATCGCTTTAACGGAAAGTGACTTGTGTGTTCATCTCCTGTCAGCCAAATATCTTCTCTGTGCAAGTTTAGGGGTAAAGTAAGGTTAAGTAAAATACTTTTAAAGGCCGTTTGTGCTAAATTCAACCGTTTATAGGTTCAGTAAATGTTTTTTATGCAGATGAGAACAAAGATGCTACAAACAAAGATCAGGGTTTAGCGGTGGGCCCTTTTGCCTTCAAACCAGCATCAATTCTAACAGGTACACTTGAATTTGTGATATCAAGTATGATCCAGCAATTATAGACAACAGGTGCTAATGATTATAACCGCAAGCAGGTTAAAGCCCAGTCATGAACTGAAACAGAAACAGCTGTGTAGGAGGATTAAAACCAAGTTTTGAACAGCCAAACATTGCTAGTGGCAGATTCTTCTCATGACAAGATTAAGTACAACAACAAGACACAAGGTAGAGACGCAGTTTAAAACCCAGTCGTGAACTGAAACAGAAACAGCTGAGTAGGAGGATTAAAACCAAGTTTTGAACAGCCAAACATTGCTAGTGGCAGATTCTTGTCATGACAAGATTAAGCACAACAACAAGACACAAGGTAGAGACGCAGTTTAAAACCCAGTCGTGAACTGAAACAGAAACAGCTGAGTAGGAGGATTAAAACCAAGTTTTGAACAGCCAAACATTGCTAGTGGCAGATTCTTGTCATGGCAAGATTAAGCACAACAACAAGACACAAGGTAGAGACGCAGTTTAAAACCCAGTCGTGAACTGAAACAGAAACAGCTGAGTAGGAGGATTAAAACCAAGTTTTGAACAGCCAAACATTGCTAGTGGCAGATTCTTGTCATTGCAAGATTAAGTACAACAACAAGACACAAGGTAGAGACGCAGTTTAAAACCCAGTCGTGAACTGAAACAGAAACAGCTGAGTAAGAGGATTAAAACCAAGTTTTGAACAGCCAAACATTGCTAGTGGCAGATTCTTGTCATGGCAAGATTAAGCACAACAACAAGACACAAGGTAGACACGCAAGTCAAAAAGGTTTAACACTCACCACAAACTGTTTAATGTAATGAAAGCGGGCTTTTCATAGCTTATGTGAAATGCAGAAGCAGCAAATGTGATGTGATTTTGTTTAAAAGGTTTGAGTACTTGTTCATGAAGCCATTATTTACTGTCTCCATCCATCAATCAAATGCTTTCTTGCTGATAGAAAACAATCTTTTTTTAAACGGCATAGATCTGATTTTTATGAAAATATTAATCTTAATCAACTCCCTTTATTGTCATTGAGTGGTAAATAGATTATTGTTTAGAGCCTAATATCAGCAGCAGGACACACTGTGATATACCTGTTTATACCTGTGACAGTGTTTCCCCGCAGGAATTACACAGATCATTCAAATTACTGTGAACTGATTGCCTCTGACAGGTCTGGGCAGCAACTTAGTTTAGCATCTGGATTGGCTGTCACTGGATGAATTATGCAAAGTAGCAATATATTAAATGATGGGAAATAGACCTGAAAAGTAATAATATAACAAGTAAAGTTAATTTCACAGCAATTTAAAGTTTGTATATTGTTCTTTTCTTGTAAGAAATGTCACTGTGATTTAAACAGAGGTGCTTGGCAACAAAAATATTGAAAAACACTGATTACTGGTGCCATGAGAGGAATATATATAGATATAAAAATATAGTTTTGTTATTTGCTTGAAGTATCTTGGGATATTGTTCAAGCATTAGAGTACAATGGGACGAGAGACTGACAGACTGATTGGTGCAGCCTCTGCAGCAATGCGGTCAATGTACCAGTATTTGCTGAGCGGTCAAGCTACGTTCCTGCTCTTACCTATGGCCATGATCTCTGGATCATAACCAATGAGATCCTGGATACAGGCGGCCAAATTGAGTTTTCTTTGCAGGGTGGCTAGGCACTCCTTTAGAGATAGGGTGAGGAGTTCATAGTAGAGCCGTTGCTCCTCCACACTGAGAGGTACTCAGGCCTCAGGCATCTGTTTCGGATGTCCCCCATAAATAAATAAAAATAAAAAGTCATTGTAACCTGATCATCTCAGCGCTCTGATTGGCCAGGTTTTGCATATTTATATTGGACTCTGTGCCAAGAATCATCTGGCAATGACATCGAGCACAATAAAGAAACCTCTGCAGCCATTTATTCATATTCTAGCATTGATAAATACACAGATAAGCTTAAAAGTAGGAAGCAGATGCACAGCAGAATAGGTTATTGGCATAAATCAGTGATCACAAAATGGCGGTCAGCAGGCAAGATTAGGCCCCCGAAGGGTTTCTGACTAGCCTCTCAAATGGGCTGTCCTGTAGATTGCTGAACTTGGTGTATTATGTTTACCGGCGTTGACTTAACATCAAGTAAAATCTGGTACGTAGGATCCACCTTGCTGGCATGTTTTTACATAAATAAATTCCTTTTCTTTGATTAATGTTCAATGATTAAAGAGTAGAAATTTAAAAAAATAATAAACACAAATTTAAAAAAGTAAAAATAATTGGGGACCCCTGGCCTGGTTTAATGATCAAAGATCTAATGCCTGTAACAAATTTAGTCTGTAAATGAAAAAAAGTAACCAAAGAAAAGACCTCCATAGAAAATGAACCGTACCGGTGTAGCTGGACTGGCACATTATTTTAAAATGAATCACTGGGTCACTGTTTGCTCTTTTTAGACAATGGGTTGTGCAAATGTGACGGAAACTGAGCCTTATAGCTCCTGATTATCCGCGACAAGTCCTATAAGGTTTGTGACAACTGTCTGCCCGGATTTAACATAGACACAGAACACACAGACACTGCTGTGCCAACTCCAGAAGTTTATTAAATGCTTGATAAGCATTCAAAAGGAAACTAGGTTGACAGGCTTAAATCAAACTAAAAATTGAATCAAAATTCCAAAGAAAACAAATACATACATTTCTCATTGCAATCAAAGTACAAAAGTAAACGTAGCATACCGATGGCTTCTCTGGTGTGAACTTTGAACAACACAATTATTAGTGACTTCTCCAGATGCTGTGGAACAAACACTGAGCCTAGGACTAAATGTTTCACACCTGAACAAAATCAGCACCACTCTCCTTCACTCTCATGGAGCTTTTGTCTGCTAAGCTCATTACTGCCACCCAGTGCTATGGCTCCACACAAAAGTACAATGTTGGCTAAATGTATTCAATTTCACATACACAACTGAAAATAAATTCCACTAAACAATATTTAATCAACCAATCCTCATGGCTCCCTAAATCACTAGAAACACTTGTTTTCACTCAACAAAAGAAATCATTATTATTTCTGGAAATTTAAGTAAAAGATATTTATTGTATTTGAATAATGGGTGGTTCAGTTGAATAATCGTTCAAAATGAAAGTAGAAGGAATAAATGAGTAGAAAAAACATCATTTCACTTTTTTCAGCTTGCCCCAGTAATTCTTACAAGTTCAAGTTCGTTCATTTGTATAGCGCTTTTCACAACAGATATTGTCTCAAAGCATCTTTATAGTAAACCAACAAGTTTAAACTCAGAAATTAATTAATTAATAAGTGGTGTATATGTCCCTGATGAGCAAGCCTGGGCGACTGTTGCAAGGAAAAAACTCCCTTTTGGAAAAAACCTTGAAAGGAACCGGACTCAAAAGGGGAACCCATCCTCATTTGGGCGACAACAGCAGTGTGATTTATATAAAATATAGTATAAACAGATGATATAGTATAAACAGATGATATAGTATAAACAGATGATGACTGTGTTAGGTGTAGGTCCAAGGGCGCCGGAACATCTCCAGGTGAATGCGGTTGTTAGGTGAGCTGGTGGGCGGAGCCTCCGGGGCGCCGGAACATCTCCAGATGAATGTGGTTGTTAGGGTGAGGAGCTGGTGGGCGGAGCCTCTGGGAGTCTCGGGATGAGTATGGAAGGGAAGAGTGAGAAATCTTACTGAGAGTATTGGCTGAAAACATAGCTAATTATTAATGCTATGGATTCAACATGATTTAAAATAATCAGCAGTGTCCCTCTTTTACACCGTCCTCCGATTTCATCACCTCATTCGCCTAAATAGCTTCTGATTTAACAGTTCAACTACAATCCCCCCCCCCCCTCTCTCTTTCTCTCCAGTATCGTGATGTATGCATTGAATTCCATTTTTTCCTGTGCGCTCGCATCATTTTTCAACACTTCTGAGGGTCAAGGATGAAAAATGGAACACAGAAGAATAGCGAGTTCCAGTTATTTTCCAAAAAGGCTGGAGAAGAAGATAACTCTGTGGAGGTGTGACATTCCCAACTAATGGCACCAGCCCACTAGCCAAAATCAGCATTTTCCACAGCAATTTTAGTACTATTAGCACTTTCAATAGGTCACCATATCATTTCATTCACATAAATTCTAGTGCAGTGTATAAAGTATGTGACGGAGTAAATTCTTTAAAAATCGTTCTTTAAAAATCCATTTAGCTGATTTTATGATTTGCTGCTTGCAAATAAGAAATGCATCCCATTTTTATTTATTTTTCTGCTCTGTTTTCATATTACCATTTTGCAAATGTCCAGGTCGAGTTGTGAAAAAATGAAAATGTGCCGTTAAATTACAGAATTATGTAATGAGGGACGGATGCTTGCGTCTGACACTAAGATGGAGCTCATGCACAGATTGTTTTTTTTAGTTTCTTGCTACAAAAACAAGGTTAAATCAAGAAATGGAGACAAAAAATGCAAAACTACACATTTACATTCATGCATTTGGCAGACGCTTTTATCCAAAGCAACTTATATTTGAAAGAATTAACACTTTTTTTTTGTCAGTTCATGCTTTCCCTGGGATTTAAACCAAACAACCTTTGCATTGTTAGTGCATTGCTCTACCAACCGAGCCACAGGAAAAGCACAATGTTCTTAATAACCAAGCACTTAACTAATCTATAACAATAAGTAAATGTTTACTTATTGATGCTGTTTTTTAAACTCCAATCGCTGAATGTTTGGTTTTACCCAGTGTGAACCATTCTGACAGTTTAGCACATTTGGTCAATTAGACCCAATTAAATTATTTTGAGACTCGTCTTATTTAAAACTTCTTAACTCTTTGGAAGGAAACTTTCAATTTTGACATCAATTCTTGAACCCAAGTTGTCGCTTGGTCTTTGAACATTATCTTTGTAGTAAATTGTTCAAATTATGTTTCAGTGGAGACTAATATTTATTTAAATATAATTATATTGGGATACACACTCTCTTTCAAAGGCAAGACAGAGGTCTTTTTCTCAGTTCTGTGGAGTTTGCTGTGGAAGCATTTTCTCAGGAACAACAATAGAGTGAAGAGTCTGCATTTCCTACAAAGTCAAAATTCATACACAAACAGCAAAATACAAACAAAAAAAAGACATTTGATTCAGAAGGGCATTTGGGGTAGTATAGTATGAAAGTGTTTTCACATTGTAATTGTTTTATGAAATGTTTAATCTGTGCATTTTTCAGAGCTTTAAGTTGCATCTCGTATCCATTTCCCTAGAACTACCCCTTAAAAAATGATGACTAGGAGAAAAGGCTTTTATTCAAATAAAAATGGAAACATAACATAATGAAATGAACATTTACAAGAAAGATGTGTTACAGTGGCTGGAGAACCCAAACAAGACACACCAAGGAGAACAGGAGGATCCAAGAAGGCAGGAAGTGATCATGGAGAGTCAGGGGTGTGTAAACCATATAACATTGAGCAAATGAGAAGAGAAGGCAGGTAAACGGGAAAAACACTGTATGAAGAGGACACAGGGAAATTAGACACGTGTGGTGGATTATTGTGAAAGTGATTGTATTGCAACAGAGAAGGAGTGGAGAAATACAAACACAAATACAGACCTGACACACCATCTATTGTGTAACCAGTATTATTCCTAACAAAATGGCTGTTTTGTTCATGATTTAATCTTCTTTTGCTGAGATGGACATGGGACATGGCTATGTGTAACATCACTGTTTACTGGCTGTTTTGAATTAAGTAGAAATGAAACGACAAACCTATTGTTTAATTTTGATTTCAAATATAATATGTAGGTTTCAAAAAGGTTGCTAGCTTTTTGGATTTTTATGACACATAATTTGCAAGGTAATTAAAATGTGAAAATGTGTGACCGTCTTTCAGTTTCATTTTACAGACCCAAAATTAGTGCCATCTAGTGGTGAAATGAAGGGATAATTTATGGAAGTACAAGACCTGTGATATGGCTTGCCTGTTTCAAAGTTCTGATACAAAAAAGGCACAAAAAATTAATGTAACAGTGTATAAGGAGGTTTGGCACTTTTTATAGAATTTTCACAATGTTTTTTGGGAATTTCTGATTTATTTATTTTTTGTCTCGATTTAGTTTTTTGTTCTAAAATATAACAACAGATAGAATTTTTTAGAATTATTTTTCTGTAAAAATGTTACATGTAATACTCAAAATTGTGGGGGGGGGGGGGGGGGTTGTACTATTTCAGGTTTGTTGTCTAACTATTGTATAATTTTATGAAAAAAATATGGAATTCTACCAAAAATAAAAATTTCTACCAAAAAAAGCTGGGGTTAAATATTATATCGTGTTTTAAAGGTAATTTATACAGCAAAATGCAAAGTAGTTAACAAAATGCTCAAAAAGCCACATACTTCTAAGGATTCAAAAAATATTAAAAATACAGTAAAGTTTTTTGATTAATTTTAAAACGAATCACTAACAAAAAAGGCTTCTTTTTCTCTGAAGCTGCTTTGAAGCATTTAGATAAAAGGGCTGTAAAAATGCAATTGACTTTGTAAAACTGTAAAAATAATGTTATTGGTTCTTCAGCAAAAATTGCATCACTAACTCTAATAATGGAGAACATTTCTTCAAAGTATTGGCTCCTTTAACATCAAATACCCAAAATTGAGTTAGTGTTTGATAAAAATCCACTAAAGGATGCATATGGCTAGTAATAGGGGATAGCAGCTTGAGCACGGAGGAAGGAATGAGGAGAGCACCGAGATGACAAACTGTGCCAATGCAGTGTGAAGTTGCCGTATTTAGTGCTTTGATTTCGTAAATGACGTACATTGTCTGCCTTTGGCACAAAAGCCCGAGACATCTCAGAGTGGAAAGATCTCAGGGATTCGTTTTCTTCAACATATTCTCTTATTTGGCAGCGTGTGCGACCTACGCTAACTAGACTGTTCTGCCAACACTTTTGTGTAATGCATCTGGGAAATTCAGCTTTATTACAAGCCTGTTTCATTTGCTTCAACACTGAGATAAAAGCTGAAATATCAAAGGACTGGAGCTGTGATGGAAAAAATGGCAGAATAGTTTAATTCAGGAATTCGCTTGAAATGCATTCTCACACACATGTTCCTGCTTCAGGCGTGAGAGTAGATCGATGTTGAAACCTTGCTGGAAAACTGTTCAGCTGAGCTAATTAACTCCCTTCACTAATACACACACTCACATGCTCTGCCTACTGGAGATGTCACTGGAGCGCACGGTTCTGTAGCGTCTGGAAGTTTTGGAATATAATTGTTTGGTAAAAGTGATTCATTCAAACAGGAAGTGCGTATTTATCTGCCTGATATCTTTAAATGTCTATGGTCGCGCATTTTCATGGTTGTGCCTTAAGTTTATTTAAAGCTTGTGGGTGAACATACAAAATGTAGTGTAATGAGATGCATTTAACTACAAAACTGATCAAATTATTATCAAGAAAATGAAACAATACAGTGCAGAAAGAGTAGTTATAATGCCTGTTCATAAGGTAAACAATACCCCTTCCGCCTTCCTTTAAAAAATGTATGAAATAGGCTACATTTATCCCATTTAGGGAAAGAAGATGTCTTTAAAATCATTAGATTTTCCAGTCAAAATGTAAAGAGTTAATTAAGTGGGAAATAATGCGAAAAGCTATGAACTAGATGGCTAAATTTGTAACTTTGTAAAAGAAAAAATGTAAAAGTGCTATGTAAAAGAATTTTTCTTAGCAAAATGGAATGGTTGCCATGGTAGAATTATTGGTTGCTATGGAGGAGTCCGTGCTATCATACAAAGTTCCCCATGCCAGTTCCTCCATCCCCATGAGTGATTCTAAACCAACCATCATGTCACATGTCTCTATTTCAATGGTACTGGTTTTCTTGATTAACATGCAGCAGGCTTGAGTTTAAAACCAGTAAAAAGCAACAGCTTTGCAAAGTCTGAACTATTTGATTTGAGCAGTCCATTAAACAAATTGTGGAGCCATTTATCACTTGCTGGGAGCTGTAACAGTCACTTAATCTCAATGAGCAGTAGTAGATCACATCTCATCAGCAGCTTCCTGACCTGTACAATAACTAACCAATGACACAAGGGCTGAGTGGTCACATGTGGGCATAAAGTGTAGTGTGTGCCAGATGACTACTTGCCAAATTACTAACAGGAGCTATCTGGCCATTTACTCAAAATAGTTTGTTGGTTTCTTTATGTTACTAAACATCCTTCCACGGATTAACATCTTTGTATTTTGCTTTTTTATTCATTTGCCAAGATAAAATTCCAAGTCAAGTCATAGTAAAAGTAACAACATGTTCAGCAAGCGTGTCGATTCACTCTCCATGAGATTGCTCAAAGTTAAAAATATAAATATACCTTTTGATTTACCCTCAATACTGCTGAAATCGAATGAAATAACAATGTTTTTAAATGCCACTGACGGGCTGTAACTCAAAGACACCATACACAGCAGAGCATTAATACATAAATACAGCAGGAGATGAACTTGAGATGAGCTCGGTCTGAAAATGGAAATGGTTTTAGCTTGAACTTAAAGGTCTGGAGGATTTTGAAGGTTTAAATCTCCAGGGGCAGTTTGTTCCACAATGATAGAGCTGTGGAGCTAAACACCCTCGACCCAGTGATTGTTTCAGGGGGAGTAGAGGTTGAGCAGGTCAATATTGTTCAGTGCCTTATAGGTTAACTAAAGCATTTTGAAACAGATCTGGCTAGGAAGCTTTCTGAGCGAAGTTTAGAGGTTCTATCAATAGTTAGGTCTCCTTATGGATAGGTTCCATTCATATATCAGAGTACATAAACATACAAGCATACTGGGCATATAATATTTGTTTTAAATTTGTTTAAATTCTAGAAAGTTGCTGGCTAACAGCTAACCAAAAGATTAAAACAAAACAAATAACTTTTTCAACATTATTTGACAAATTTTCTATATTAATTGGTGTTAAATGGTATCTGCCAATTAATGTCTTTATCTTTATGGTAAGTATTTGATGAGCCTATAGTTTTGCAAGTACTTCTAGCTCTAGAATTTTCAGCATAGATGCATTTCCACTGTTTGTGAAAGAAATCCAGAAATCACACTGTATTAGCGTTTAACAAATTTATTTGTAAAATACTGAGCCAAATAAGTATTTGATCACGTCATTAAAATGTTTACAAAAGGTACAGAATATTAGTTTACAATTACAGAGGTCAAACTACTTTCCTGTCGCATTAGGGATTTTGGCCCACTCCTCCATAAAGATCTTCTTTAGATCTATCAGGCTTCAGGAAAGTCAGAGTTTCAGGCTCCCACAGATTTTCTATTGGAATTAGGTCTGGAGACTGGCTAAGCCACTTCTTGGACTTGCTTTGGGTCATTGTCATGTAGGATCCCGCCATGACCCATCGTTAATGCTCTGACAGGAAAGGAAGGTTTTCAATCATTTATCCTCTATTTAATACAGTGGAGTCCTCTACTCCCCTGTGCTCTTCTGTTCTTCCTCCAGAGCATGATGCTTCCATCCCTATGCTTCACTTTAGGTATGGTATTATTCGGATGGTACCCATCAATTGTCTTCCTACAAATATGGCGAAGACCGTTAAGACCAAAAGGTTCTTCTTCCT